CGGACCCAGCCGCTCTGCGGCATGTGGGATCTTCCCGGACCGGGGCACGAACCTGCATCGGCAGGCGGACTCTCAACCACTGCGCCACCAGGGAAGCCCAGCGCTACTGTTTTAATTGTTATCGCTGTTGTTGTTTTTGTTGCTACCCTGTTTACAAAGTTACATATGTTTTTAATGATCTGTTGCAACTCTTTCCCCCAGGTCCTATTATTTTTATTGTACACTTTCGCAGAACGTGAGGTTTTCAGAAACACAGATATGGTAGAATTACCTATACTTTGATAGAAGACATCTCTGTTCAAGTTTTCAAACTTTGGTATGCATATGAGAATCACCTGGGGAGTTCATTAAAAATGCAGGTTTTTAGAATCTACCCAGAGTATGATTATATACGTGGGGTGGGGCAAAGAATCTACCATTTCTCCACGACCTCACCTACAGCAACATGACAGGAGTAGTTATCAGATTCTAGTTCATTCTCCCAATGAGAAGGCAGCGCCAAGAGACCACATTTGAGTGTCAGAAGTCTTCCCCTTGGCATTCCTTCTCACCTTGACCGTGATGTGCCCGTGGACATTTTCCATTTCTCCCAGCATGGCTGACATCAAGGAGGATTTCCCAGAGCCCACAGTGCCCACCACAGCCACCAGTTGGCCTGGCATAATGTCTAGGTTCACGCTGAAAGAGAGAAGTGCACTTGAAAGAGAAGGGTGTGTGGAGGGGTGTTATTCAGGAGAAGTTCAAGCCACTTCTCAGACGCTCCATAGGAAGTCTGATTATTAGGAGATTTTCCCTCAAGATTGGAAAATTTGTCTTGCATATACAATACTCCAAAATATTTTTCTAATGATTTTTTTTCTGGTCTAAGAGTTTTGAGAGTAAGTCCTCATGTATAAGTTGTTTGTGCCAAATGTGAGTTTCCACTGGAAAAATTATTTTAGAACCAACGTGGTACCACTGAACAAGACCCTATTGGTTCAAGTCCCAACTCTGCCACTGCCGAGCTGTGTGATCTTGGAGGGCCACTTTTCCTGGACTCTCATTTCTAAACTAATGGGGTTGGACCAGATTAATGTATCCCGAAGTTGGCCATTCAATGAGAATAACCATTCAATAAAACACTTGCTGAAAGCACAGATTCCCTGCTCCCCTCCGCCTGGAGATCTGGCTGAGTCTGACTGGGGAGGGGCCCACACTGGGCCAGGCTCCTGGAAACTCTCTGTTCTGGCCCTATTATTTGAGTCCCTAGAACATTAGGAACATGGGGAACTTGTTCACAGGCTTTCTGAACCTGCCCCTTGAGCTGGACTCCTTCCAGACTTATCCTACTAGCAAAGTGGGAGCTATGTCCACTCTGCTCTCTGCAAAGTGAGGCTTTCAGGTTGGGAGGGTTCAGAGGTGGGGCTTCTTGCCTGACACATGCTGGGGCAAGCTCCAGAGTCCATGTTAAAGGATCTAGGAATAGGAGAGAAATGTGGAAATTTCTGGGTGTAGCAGGGAGATAATCAGGTATACTCAGTTGTGAAGAAAATATCTGGCCTGCTTGGGCTCCCGGTGTGCTCTGTGGTGCTGTGCTCAGTGGCTGAGTTGGGCGTACCAGTACATACAGTGCTTAAGGAACACATTACATGCAGCAATGTGGCAAGAAAGGGTTGGCTTAAGGCAGGGGGATGTGAGAATGGGTTATGTAGATGAAAAATTCCAGATCTGAAGTTGATTATAGAGGCAGCTCCCAACAACCACTCTGGGCAAAGAAGGCAGATTTTTCTTGATTACTATTCTTAAGTGAATAAATGAACTTAAATTGAGTTCAGGTTCTTGTGTGTATCCACTACCATACCCAGAGACCTAGGCTACCTGCCAACCCTGCACTACCTCCATCCAGTCTGGAGAATAAATGTCTTCATAGGCTCTCAGCTGGACTTGCACTGTCCCACAGTAGGAAAGCAGGGTAGCAGATGTAGTTACAGGGACAGGGGCTCAGGATCTTTGCTGTCAGTTCATCCCTCCAAGAGTTTAGCCTGCACTAGTCTCTAACTGAACACATGCACATAGCTCGTTTCCCCATGTATTACATTACATGGAATTTTTCAATAACAAGACTGGCAAGGAGAATCCTAAAAAACAGCAAGAGGAAAAGGAGGCAACTCACTCTTGGATTGTGACTTCCGAATTGTGGTCCCAGGTAAAGGATGCCTCAGAAAACTGCACAGCTTTATCTGTTGAGAAAAAGTCCCCTCTTTAAGTCAGATGTAGGTCCCCACATGTCTGTCTGCCCTTTCTTAGCCTTCAGGTGTCCCTCACTGCTTCCTCCAGCAGAGCCCAAGATTGCCTCTGTCAGGTGCTGACTCCTGAGCTGACAAGAGGCAAATGAAAGGTCCTGGGATGACACCAAGAGTTGCCTGCGTACGATGTCCTTTTTTTACTTAGAAGTCCCAAGCCTGTTGGTAGCCCAGATTCTTGATCTACAGACAGTCTGGGTACATTCCCAGGCCCTCTGTTGCCTAGTCTCTTGTATAAATTCCACTTCTGAATATAAACTCAGCCATTCCCTGCCCTGGATTCCAGACCCACTGCTCCTTCTGGCTATGGATGCCCCCCAGTCCTTAAACCTTTAGAACTTGTGTGTTCTTTCACTCCAGCCTATCTTCCCAATTCCACATGCTTGGCTCCATCCTGCCTTCTGTCTTCTAGATCCTTTGCAGGATTCCCTGCTTATCCTCAGAATAGCTGCCCCAGCTTAGCTTGGCCATCTGGCTAAGCAATCTGTTCTAAATGAAAGCATAATTTAAGTAATAACGGTGTGGATACTGTGCAAATACGGGTGCAAGGTAAGTCCCCTAGCTTTCCCTTTCCATCAGTTTCTTGCTGCAAAGTACTGGTGCCAGCACTGTGAATATATATGGGATGCAACTTCCAAATTCACTTACCAAAATTGCAGTCATGTCGAATGGCAGATGTGTCCAAGTCATCCCCTCCCAAATATTTCTCTAGCCGTTCTACGGAAACACTGGCCTAGAGAAGGGCATAAAGGATAAAAAGCCCCAGTGACAAGCACAAGTAGAGGAGCTTTACCTCGTCATCAGCCTTGGATGTGGAAGCAGACAGTCAACCTGCCAGGCTTCTTGCCCATGGTTTGCTATTTGCCACACCTGGAACCTCTGGCCCCTTACCCTCGGGCCCCCCTCCCCAGCGTGATTCAGCCACACCTCAGCCCTGGGGGCCAGCCCGCTCTGAACAGAGGGAAATTAAGATGCTCTATTTCAGCCCCTCAGAAAACTCACTGTGGTGTGGGGGAGGTCAATTCTACTGCTCTCTTTGGACCTAGTTCCAGAAACTGTCTTCTGCCTTCTTCTAAGACAAAACTTCTGTCTGGTTCTGGTAACTGGGCCCCTGGCATGTTCTTCTTTAACTGAGTCCATGACCCGTATGGTGCCTCACTGTCCACATGCCATGGTCATCGGGCCCCTTTGTCATGCAGGGAGCTGTCACCACTGCTGATCCTGCTTTTGCTCTCTATGCGATAAACTATCTGAATCTAAAAAGAGCATGTTATTTCTTTATCAGCCAAATCTATCGGCCTTCCTTAACACCCTCCAGTACCGGGAGAGGTCTTTTCCTAAACCCCAGTCCTTCCTATGGCCTGAGCTGTCTGAAGCCAGCCATCTCCAGGATGAATGCAGGTCGCCACACTTTGTCATCCTGGCTGCCTCACCAGTCTGCCACCTGCCCTGTGAACGTCCTCCTGAGGTCTGGTACCTGGTCTATCTCAGTGACTGTGCTCAGTTTTCAGGACCCAAACACTCCCTATGGCCCATTTTCTGACACCTTGAGGCTCCCAGGTTGCATTTGGTTTTACCACCATGTATGTGGCTTCATCCAAAGAGAAGCCTTTTCTCTCCTTTTGTGCCATGTTTCCCTAATGCTCCATAAATACCTCACAAGGAGATGGATGAGACTGGGATGATTATCCTCAGTTTATAGTCAGAAAAACTGGGGCTCAATGAGCTTGTGATTTTACTAAATCAAACTGTTGGTCTCCAGAGACCAAAAAAATCTCTCTAATTGAAGGTTCACCAGCAGAAGCTAGAAATGAGATATGACAGACCAGTCATTCTGGACTCTAAGGCTTTTAACCAGAGCTAATCAGTTAGCAGTGAGAGTTCCTACCTACCTGGAGCATGGTGGATACTATCATGGGAAGCATGCTCATGGGAAATCGCAGGATATTGAAGAGGGTGATGGAGGTGAAGGCCTTTTCTGCATCCAGAATATTATTGCTATCCACCAGGACGTAAACGGAAAATGTGATCACAGACACCTGGAAAAGCAAAGCCATCAGTGATTTATTCCTAAAAGGGATCAAGCAGCCTTGTTCTAAGTCTCAGGAACACAGTACTGTATCAGAGTTGAAGGAGTCTTAGGGATTACCTCAACCCTCCCATGTTACAGATGAGAAACCTGAGCCCAGAAGAGGAGGAAATATCTTGCCTGAGGTCATAAAGTCAACTAATGGCATTGCTGGGACCAGAGCTCGAGTCTCCTGGTTCCTGTTATCAGTTTTCCTTCCGCTACAGACCCACGCGGCCTCCCCAAGAAGATGAGAAGCCTTCCCACGCAGACCATGCCTGGATACCACATTCATGCTGAACCCCCTGGAAACTTGCTCTGGGCGGCAAGACCACCAAATTGTGCACAAGGGTGAAACTAGATTTGGGGACATGAGGTAGGAATAGCAGCATGAGGACTTGATGAACCCCTGGATTTCAGGGTCAGGCCTACAGGTGCGGGCAGTCTATCTAAACAGACCTTCTTCTCCAGGAAGCTGACCCAGCCCACTGACTCCTGTCACTCACCAGCACCGGAGTTAAGTATAAGAGAAATATCATCACAGACTGCAACTGCCCAAACGTCAGCAGGTTCCTGAGCTCTTTCTTACGAAGGTCGTGGACTTGGTTTTGGAATGAAGGCTCCCAGGCAAAATATTTCAGGATCTAATAGGATAGAAAAGAGCACAGCTCACACTGGTGCCCCAAAAAGACATCAGGTGCATACCATCCACCCATGTTTTAGGATATGCTCCCCAAAATTGGGGAAGTAGAAATTCAGATTATAAAGTGCGATTACAGAAAGGTAACTTGTATTTGTTGACAACTTACTAGGTATACAACGTTTTATATACATTATCTTACTTAGTCCTAAGTGTGACCAACTGTCCCACTTTGCCTGGGATTAAAGGTTGCCCAGGATATGGGGCTTTCAGTGCTAAACCCAGAAAGTTCTGGGCAAACCAGGAAGAGGTAGTCACCTACTCTAACAGAATTACTGCATCCATTTTAACAATAAGGAAACAGGTTGAGAGAGACTAAGTAACTTGCCCAAAGTCACCATCCTAGTGAGTGGTAGAGCTGAGACCCGAAACCAGGTCTATGTTTTCATTTTGCCACATTGGCAAGAAGGCATATAGAGCTCTGTGTGGAGAAATAGCAGGATGTTCAAAGGGGCCTCTTTTTCATTTTCAAGAGGTTTAGGGTAATATTAAAGTCCATGAATTCAAAAACAACGTATATATTAAAAAAGAATTTATTGGTCACCTTTGAAGGATGAAAATGCATTATTTTGAAAACTAGTAAATAGAGGAAAGAAGCCTGTATTTATCCTGCCTATCCTGTACAAACTTTATTTTAGGGTAACCAACTAGCTGATTAAAGATCATTCTTCATTACACAATTCCAGCTAAGCAATGGCAAAGGAATAATGGAATTAAAACATCACCCTTTTGCAACTACTAATGAAATAACAGAAGAAGGCAATGGTCATCAGTGGCTGCTAAAGCCTTTATGACAGTGGTTTTCAACTTTGGCTACATTTAGAATCACTTAGGGAGCTTTCAATAAATGTATATATACACACACACGTGTATCTATCTATATATATATATATGCCTGAGCCTCACCCCCAGAGAGTCCAAAAAAATGGTTTGAAGTAGGCCCCAAGCCTCAGTGGGTTTACAAACTTCCCAGGGGATTGAAATGTGCTGCCCGGGCCACAAGTCACTACTCTGGGTGAAAGAACAGCAGGAAACACAGTAAGGGATGAGTCAGGCTGACAACGCCTGGACCCCATAAGCACTCATCATCGCTAAGTTAGGAAGCAAGCACTCTCTGAAAGTATCCTTGCCCGTCAACCCCACCCCAAACAAACAAACACAAAAAACAAGCAAGCCAAAATATACTCAAGCCTCTAGATCTAACCACCAATTTACAAGAAACGTTGGAACAAGACAACTTGTTTTCTCTAAAATGACCAAATGACTACTGTAGATCAAAAGCACTGTCAACTAAATGCCATGTGTGGACAGTTTTTGGATCCTTATTCAAACTAACCAATGGTAAAATAAAATTAAATTAAAAAGACATGTATGAGGTAATTGGGGAAATTTAATGGTATCAAAGGACTGTTCATTTTTTTTTTTCAGGTATGCTATTGGTATCGTGGTTATGCTAAAAAAAATGAAGTCCTTATTTTAGAAATACATACCCAGTATTTACAAATGAAATGACAAAATATCTGAGATTTGATTTTAAATAATCTAGCAGGGCATGAAGTGGAGAGTGGGGATATAGATGAAACAAGTTAGGTCATGCTGATAATTGCTGGAGGTGGGTGATAAATCCATGGGGTTTAATAAATCATTAAACCATTCTCTTTACTTTTGTGCACGTTTGACAATCTCTACAGTAAAATACAAAAACAAAACAAGCCATTTAACATAATTAAATAGAAATCATGATCAAAAGAGGTCCTGAGAGGAGTACCAGGACAAGAAACAGGAGACTTCTGGGCTAATGAATCAGAAGTCATGGGACACATCACAGGCCCAGAAGCAGAAGTCCACAACCTCTAGCAAGTTTGTGAAGCCTAAGAACCCACTGTTGCCGTCATTGTGCCCAGAGAGTCACCTACACTCAGCTTCTCACCTTGATCCCACTGAGAACCTCATTCATGATCTTTAAACGGTTGTCTTTATACTTCATATTTTTAACCTGCCAGGAAAAAGTGAAACAAACACAGAACACACTTCCATGTGAGATGGTCCAGATTTGCTGCAGATACTAAACCTCAGTGGTGCTTGTGGCTGTCACTTGGCGAGAACTTGAGGTGCCCAGTGATGGGCTGTCTCTCCCACTCTCCTCCTTGCCTCCCCGCCCCTGCCACACCCACCTTCTTTCTGAACCTTAACAGCCTTGGCCCGACTGTGCCCTCCTCCTAGGTTGTTTTTGCCATGGCTTCCTCCTTCACATTCAGGTTGGTGTTGTCCAGAGCTCAGCTCAATGTCCCCTCCTCACAGAGGTCTTTCCTGATCCCATAACCCAACACTGCCACCCACCCACTCACTAGCATATCACCCTGTTGAATTCTCTGCATAGTACTTATCATAACTGACATTTTCCTTCTTTGCTTTTACTTGTTTATGGCCTGAATCTCCACCCCAAGTAGAACGTAAGTTCCACAAGAGCAAGAGCCTTGTCTAATTTGCTGCTGTGTTCCCCCCAAAATAGGACATACAAAAAATATTTTTAAAATATTTGCAACTAAATGGATGCAAAACAAATGGAGTAAATGACATACGCCACTGAGTTCACCCATCCAAAATATGATTTCTGGCATAGCTAACAACTGTCCACATGGAGCCCTGCTACCTGGTGGTAGCAGGGTTGATTGCCAGGATTTAGGCCTAAAGTTTGGGTTGCTCATGTGACTGCTCTGTGTGGCTGGTTTGCATTACTATGATGGCAAAACAGGGCCAATAATCACTGTGCTAAGAACAGCCCAGTGGAGCAGGGTGTAAGAGTTATATGCAGGGTCCCTGGGCGGCTCTTCTCTTTCCAATGAGGAACATGAATCAAGACAGAGTATATAAACCCTAAGAGTGGTCAGAAGATGAAAAGGGAAGATAAAGCCAAGCTCATCTGAGACAGTGGCAAGTCTTCTACCAGCTTTGCGTTGCTCAAACTCCAATCACAAGTCAGAATAGAGGAAGTAAAAGACTTTAGACTTTGAAGAACATAAACATGTCCCCAGTGACTGTTTCTTTACCTGAATAGCCCTATTCTTGGTGGCAATTACCCCATTAATTGGGATTAGGAGCACCATCACCCCAACACCTGCTAAGACTGAGGGTCCCAACTCTGCCCACAGGAAGTAGATGGACAAGCAAATCTGTAGAACATTTGACCACAGCAGATGGATGAAGTTGGTCACGTCCATGAGCTTCTGGGAGTCCACAGACATCAGGTTCACTGTTTCTCCAATGGTGTACTGCTTCCTGGCCTGGTTGGATAGAGTCAGCGCCTAAAAACAAAGATTGGAATTGGGACACCTGGACAAGGCCAAGGATACTGGGGAGTGAGAGGGGAAATTCAAGAAGGAAGTGAAAGACAGTAGAAGGATGGGCTCCATATGGACACAACTTTTCCAGAGGGCTGGGATCTTCTTGCCACTAAATCCATTTTTTTTTTTTTTTTTTTTTTGCAGTACACGGGCCTCTCACTGCTGTGGCCTCTCCCGTTGCGGAGCACAGGCTCCAGACGCGCAGGCTCAGTGGCCATGGCTCACAGGCCCAGCTGCTCCACGACATGTGGGATCTTCCCGGACTGGGGCACGAACCCATGTCCCCTGCATTGGCAGGCGGAATCTCAACCACTGCGCCACCAGGGAAGTCCTTGCCACTAAATCTTACACACAGTGTTCTCTCATTCTTGACCACTCTTTCCTGCTATTCCTACCTTCCCCAACATCTGTTCCTCCACACACCTTTTTGCTCAGAAAAGTCCTATTTATCTCTTAGTGTCAACTTAGATGGAACTTCTTCTCAGAAGACTTCCCTGACTCCCAAGTTTAGGTTAGATATTTCTCCTGTGTATTCCCCTAACAACCCATGCTTACCTCTGCCATGACATTCACCACACTTCACTGTGTAATTTTGTTTTTCTATTTCTCCACCAGTTGTAAACTCTGTAAGGACAAGGGCTACATCTGTCCAATTCACTACCGCTTTCACATGCATACAGTAGGGAAATCAAATACTGAAGGATGGAAGGAACGGAGGGATGAAAGGAAGAAGCATGTATTCATTCTTGCCTTACAGACTTTAATGTGGCAATGTTATTTGGAGCCATACTGTGAGGAGGTTGCAACCATTCCCAAGCAGGACAGAGATCTTAGAATGGTGAGAAAAGTTACGGGGTTCACACACTGGAAGCAAAATGACTTATTGTCAGGAATTTGAGGGCAATATCTAGATGCCTGAATCTTGCAGCATGAGCCTCTTGCTCTCTTGTTAGAGAGATCAGAAGGCTGACACCCACAGTCTGTCACTTACAGCAGTGCCTTGTACAAATGCTCCCAGAAAAGGGGCTCGGGGGTGGGTGGTGGCTGCATGAAACCAGCTTGTACTACGCTCACCAAGCCACCCTCTGGTGTGGGCTACATCTTTCCAGAGGAATGAAAGCCTTCTTCTAATTCCCACAAGGCAGTATATGGGCTATGAGTGGCCCTAGAGATCACCTTCATCCTCCTTCTAGAAGCTCTACTGTCATCTTAATCCATCAATAAAGTCTTTAGAATATATCAGGATTCTTGGTTGTACAGTAAAAAGAAGGAAATTTCCTAAAATGTTAGGCTACCAAGGTTCTAGAGACATCATTTCACTGCTATGCCTCCCCTTTGGTATTGAAGAACAAAAACAAAAAGTAACATCTAATTACCTTTCAAAGTAATCACTATACTTTTCTTTTTTCAATAAATCTTTGTGAAGTGGTAAAGTCATTAATTTAGTCCCAATAGCCCTTGTCTAGAGGCAGGTCCTGTCTATGTGATTCTAGGCATTGAAATGATCTAAGCCCTACTTCTCTGTAACTAGGGGTAATGCAGTTACTTCCCAGGGCTAAGAATTGATAATGGATGTAAAAAATGTTTCATAACATTTCATAAATGAAGCATAATCTAAACATATAAAATTAGTCAATTTTAAATTCTATTTTAGGGACTTCCCTGGTGGTCCAGTGGTTAAGACTTCGCCTTCCAATGCCCGGGGTGCAGGTTCGATCCCTGGTCAGGGAGCTAAGATCCCACATGCTTGGGGCCAAAAAAACAAAACATAAAACAGAAGCAATACTGTAACAAATTCAATAAAGACTTTAAAAATGGTCCACGTCAAACAAAATCTTTAAAAAAATTCTATTTTAGTAGCAATATTTATTTGAATTAAGGGCTCTATCCTTATGGATTCTAACAGTTGCAAAACTTGGAACATATCAATATTAAGAATCAAAGTAGTGGAAATGAATCATCACAATTGTAAAAGTGTACGTTCATAGAAATGTCTGAGACGGCCTGGTTAGTGACCTCATATCCTGCAAACCAGCAGAAATACAGTATCTCCAGAAGGAATAAGGGGATTAAAATTTTAATTTTGGAGAAGACAAATTCCAGTGTGAGGGTATCTGGGAGTTCAAAGAACTTGACCAGACTTCTGATTTAAAGACATTTGGATCACCTCTCTGGGTCTCTCGATGAGTCAGCATCTACTCAGGAAAGACAAAAGATACACTTGGAGTCTTAAGAGAGGAAAGCAAAGGATAAAATCAGGAACTGTAACAGAGAAATCACTATGATGGAACACTCCAGTGGTGGATGAAAAAGAGGAAGAAAAGGCAACCGACTGATGTTCTGACCTATAAGAAGTATCATCATCTCCTAATGGATGAATTTTCTCCTCAGGCTTGTAGTCACTATTTTCATTTCTTTTTATTTATTTTTTAAATTGAGATATACTTGACTCTACTTTCATTTCTTAAGGGAAAAAATGAGAATTCACCTTGGTGTCTAGGACGGAGGGAAATAAAGTTGCTCTGAGAAAGTTAAACATTAAAAGCAATATGTCAGAGGGAATATGGGGAAAATCGTCTTAAGGAAATGGAATAGCTCCCAAGTCTGCAGAACTTAGTAACCAGTGTGAAGGTATTTACAAATCCAAAAAAGGAATCAGGCAGAGGACGTGTTGGTCGTTACTCAAGACTGAGAAAAAGAAGTCACTAGGCAAAAGTCAGTCCGGGGAGATGGAGTCCTGGTTCACAGAGCGTTCTAGTCTATGGCAAAATTGTGATTTGAGATGGACACACCAGGTCTTATGAGCCAAGTTTCATGTAGTATTTGGTTTAAATGTTGGTGATCTGAAGAGTCTGCCCTTGGCCAGCTTCTTTTCTGACTTTACATTCTGTCCCAAGGTGTTGTCACCTTGTGGAGAGAGGAAGGAAGAGAGGGACGGTATGCAAGCCTTCAAAGCTGAAAGGCAGATCCCGGGCAGAGAACAGCTTGCCGGCTTTTCCCTGGAGTGCACCTCACCCCACACACACAGACGCTCTATGTCTGTATACACACTTTTCATTTTCATCTCCAAAGAAATATCTAAAGAAGGCTGTGTGTTTAGCCAAAATCCAGTGTTGAGGTCAGTTATTTCCGTCAAATTTTCCTCAATCTGGGAAGAAATGCTCACGTTTACAAGGGGGATTTTCTTTGGTGATGCCTGGCATATTCCACTTACCTTCTTATATACAGAAGCCGTGATGGTGGTCCGTACTTTCATGCCCAGCATAAAGCACAGTTTAAAGTAATACTGAAGGCAGACAGACTGGATGAGGGCCACGGCGAAGAAGAGGATTGAATAGAGATACCCAGTCCACAGATATATGTCATGGTCATTTGCAAAGGAGATCAGCAATCTGCCAGAGCAAAACCAAGTAAGTGGCGCCGTCAAGCCTCCGAGGGCTCGTCACCCTCCTTGTGCACAGCCAGCTACGCTATCCTACCCGGTTGGTAACAAAAGTGACCAGAATTTTTCAATGCTCTTGGAAGACTGAGCTCCACAGCCATGCCAGCACTCTTGCCTTTTTTGGAGATAGGCAGCAAGGGCTAAGGGTTGACGACCCATGACCGTGAGACGGGATAACGTGTGCTCCACAAAGCTGCCACTGCAATGCTTTCTTTGACGCTCTCTTTCCCTACCCTCTGGTAAAAGAGGATGTTATGTAGCAAGTTGATTGATTCCTGGAAAGGAATTAGGGCTTGTATCCAGCGTGAGTTAGAAGGGTTTCCTCTGGAGGATAGTTCATTCCATAGATCCTGGCAGACTGAAGTCCTGTCATGATTAACCTGAACCTCCCACTGAATGCGTGACTGTGGAGCAATGAGGTTAGAGAGACTATGTACAAGCCTCTCCTGGGGTATGAGGCCCACGTTTTGGACATGACTCGGCTCACAGCAGTTCTGTTTAAGAAGAAAGCACCCCTAAGAAGCATCTGGCTTCCTATGAGAAGGACGTGGAAAAGAGGGAGGCTAAAGGATCTAAATGATTTTTCAGATCATTTTAGATCTTGAAAAATGCCTTGTGCTTTTCATGAACACAATGCTGTAAGGTTGAAGAAAGTTATGAGCATTTTAAAAAATGGAAACTCGATAATAGGCTCCTGCCTGCATATACAAGGGGCAAAAAGCAGAGTGGCAGAGGAGGCCCTGCAAGGACAAGCCAGGGCCTGGGGACTCACTTCAGCAGCTGAGGGTTCAGGAACATGAGGATGTCATACACCAGCTTCAGCAGGAATGATTTCAGGAGGATGACGTAGAAAGTTTTGAAGAGGGCTTTCACCAACCAGGACTTGGGGAAGTCTTTAGTGGCCTCAGACTTCTTTTTATTCTTTTTAGTTTCTTCCTGGGTACAAAACCAAACAACATCAGTGCTTGCAGAGCTGCGTGGTGGAAGACTGTCTTTACTGAACAGTTCCCAAGTGTTAGCCCCTGAGCCCTGCTGCCTTTGTACAGGTTTTGGTCTTCTCTCCACTGCCTGATCCCATTCACCCTTTTAGCTGCTATCACTGTTCCCCTCTCCCCCTCCTGATACTTCGGATCTATTCTGGATTAGGAAAACAGGCAACAAACCTGGTGAGAAGACCATGTAAAAGCAAAGAACAGCCTCTGACTGGGGGACTGTGGGGCGTCGTGGGAGGGAAGGGCATGGGCGTGATTTTATATATATATATTTCGGATGCTTAAAAGCCTTTCCATTCTCTTCTTGTTCATGGTTATTGTGGGATGTTATGGGTTGAATAGAATCCCCCCAAAAGTTATGTTGAAGTCCTAACCCCCGGTGCCTTAGAACATGCCCTTGTTTGGAAACAGGGCCTTTGCAGATGTAATCAAGATGAGGTCATTAGAGTGTGTCATGGAATGGGTTCTACTCCAATATGACTGGTGTCCTTGTAAGAAGAGACAGACATGGGGGAAGAGGACACATGATGACAGAGGCAGAGAGTGGAGTGAAAACAGCCACAAGCCAAGTAACACCAAGGACTGCTGGTAAAACCCAGAAGGTGGGAGAGGCAAGGAAGCTTTCTTCCCTACAGGTTTTAGAGGGAGCATATGGCCCAGCTGATGCTTTGATTTCAGACCTCTGGCCTCCTCTGAGTTGTGAGACAATACATTTCTGTTGTTTTAAGCCACGCGGTTCGTGGTGCTTTGTTTCAGCGACCCCGGGAATCTACTACATGGGATATTACCACCCACTCTCCCGCCTCTTCCTTTTCCTGTCTCAGGAGTCCCCACCAGGCCCCCAATTCCAGCCTCTCAGCCTCAGTGACATCCTCCTGTAATTTCTCTCACTGAGGTCCCATCTGATCGGTCTCTTGCCTGAACACCTGCCTCAACCTGCTTCCCAGCTTCCTCTTTTGCCTCCCAACCATCCGTTCTCCTGGCAGCTGCTTCAGTGGGCTTTTAAAAATGTAAATCTGATTGCATTACGCCTCTGCTCAAAACTTTCCACCGGCTTTCCATCAGAGTTAAAATAAAATCCAGGCTCCTCACCATGGCCCATGAGGGTCTACACCACTTAATCCCTGCCCCTTTCCCCGAGCTCACCTCACCCCTCACTCAGCCTCTCTCTCCATGCTCCCGCATCCTCTTTCCCTTCTCCAAACAAGCCAACCATGTTCCCCTCTCAGCTTCCCCCCTCCTGCGCCCTCTGAGTGAAATACGCTTCCTTCTCATGGGCTCTTTTCATCGCTTGGATTTTTACCCAAATGTCATCTCCTCTGAGAAGCCTCTCCTGTTACTCTAAGGAAGCACTTCACGCCAGACACATTAACATGTTTTCTTAATAGCACTTACTACTCTGAAAGAGTAATGTATGTATTGGTTTATTATTTATTTTCCAGCTCACTAAAGGTGAGGACTCTTTCAGGCAGATCCTTATACCTGTGCCCAGAATGGTCTCTGACACACAGTGGTACTCAATAAATATTTTCAAGTGAATAAAAAAATAAATTAGCTGCTAATGCTAAATCCCACCAACGTGCAGATTCTAGTAATGCTAAGGTATTCTTTTATTTTTCTGTTTAAAAAAAAACATTTTATTGTGGAAAATTTCAAATATACCCCAAATGAGAGAGATCAGTACTACATTATACTCCCATGTATCCATCACTAAGGTACTATTAGTATTGTGAATATTACTAATAATATAAAATGCACTGTAAAGTATAAAGTGCTGTCAAAATGAAAGGACAGATTCACCAGGACATTGGTGTCCTCTTGCCTAAGACATACAGCACATTCGAACAGACACTCGTGGGAAAGTTACCAGGACAAGGACATCTTGGCTTTGACTCTGGTTCTTGTCCAACCCATGCAGCCTGGCTCCAGGGTTCCACTGGGAGTTCTTCTGCTGCCGTTTCTGGAATGCCTGCCGGGCCTTCTGCAGCTCTCCTGCCATGTACTTTTCAAACCTGCTGACTAGTGTCTTTGTTTTAGTCTCTTCATCAATATCCCAGATATCTTCAAGCGTCAGAGGTTTCTTGAAGCCTTTCAGAACAATGCTGGAACAAGAGCGACCCACAGGCTGAGGCCCTGCGGTTGGGACCAGAGGCTGTCTCCTCGCTGCCTCTGTCAAAACCATCCAGTCCCAGGATGGAGGGACAGAAGAATGGGGCTTCTCCCTTGCTCTACTATCCCAGCTCCTAGCTCTTGGAACTCGAAACAGGAGTGGGGAGAGCAGAAAAGGGAGTGGGTGGGGGTGATGGAAGGTGGGAGAAAACAAGAGAAGGGGAAGGAGTCCTACTGAATTGAGAGCCAAAAGTGCATCACCTCCCCCGATCCTGTTCCTTCCTTCTCAAACACTGGCTGCCTCTCTGCTGCCCTGGCATCTCCCTGAGGAGCCTCCACGATGCCCTTAAGAAACTGAGCAGAACTGGGGGCTGCCTCTAATACTCTCTCTCTAGATCAGGGCTCCTCAACATGGGATTTGAGAACATGGATGGAAAATAAATTACATCTTTACTTTTATTAGCTTCTAACTGAAATTTAGCCTTTCCTTCTAATATGAATGTAGTCAACCCACCACAGTTCCAAAACAGAGTACTTGTGCCTTTGTTACCAGGTAACAAAAGTCACAGATGTTTTCATGGCTCATTTACATTCATCACTGCTTTGAAACTATTAAACCCAGCCAGCATTAGGTCTTGATATTTAATGCATTAATAAAGAAGCACATGTATTACTATATCACAAATTTGGTAACTACATTTCAATATATTTGTTTCCCTTTATAATCCCATGTCTTTTATTGTACACATTTAAAACATCATCTGAGAAGGGATTCATGGGTGTTACCAGGCTGCCAAAGGGGTCCGTGGAACTACAAAGGCCAAGGACGGCTGCTCCAGATCCTCTGGAAGCCCAGAACAGCTATTTCATCCCTTACCCGAGTCTGTGCCACCCTCCTTGACCCCAAATTTCCCTTTTCCTGTCCTACTGCCTCCTTTTCCTCCTATCCTTTTTTTTTTCATGGAGCTCCTCAGGCTACCAAGAGCAAACGCCCCTCCTTCCTCTCCTCAGCTTCCCCATCTGCCCAGTGAAGGGACTGCAGTAAACTGATCTGTATGTTTTAACATTCTCTGACTCTAAGCAGAGGAGAAATGGAAGCCATGGCAGGCACTTTTAAAATTAAGATTTCCATCACTTTCAGGAGAGTGAGGGGGGAGGGATATAGACAAGCCACACTCCAGGTATTTCCTACCTGTCATACCAACTAAAGGTGATGCTACTCAGAAATGAAGCTGTGGTTGAAGGATGCTGCAAGACACACAAAAAATCAGACAGTAAATCAATTAGAAACAGGAATTCTATGGAACTCTAAAATCAGAAGCTGAGTTTTCTAAATATGATGTTGTGCTAGAAACTAGATATGACACTGAAGTAGGCTGGTCAACGTGTTTGTTTGGAGACGCTAAGGTCACCAGTAGAATGATAGCCAGACTTTATGGCATAGATGTATGAATTAACTGTCTATGCTGAAGCTTGGTGGGTCAATATAAAAGTCAGTGTTTCCGGGCTTCCCTGGTGGCGCAGTGGTTGAGAGCCCGCCTGCCGATGCAGGGGACACAGGTTTGTGGCCCCGTCCGGGAAGATCCCACATGCCGCGGAGCGGCTGGGCCCGTGAGCCATGGCCGCTGAGCCTGCGCGTCCGGAGCCTGTGCTCCGCAACGGGAGAGGCCACAACAGTGAGAGGCCCGCGTACCGCAGGGAAAAAAAAAAAGAAGTCAGTGTTTCCAAATTCTAGTCACTTTGTTTCCTTACATCACAAAATGGACTATACTACTATATTCTGGGCTTGTGGGACCTTCATGAGACCTAGACATCTCAAAGTTACATCTGTCAAGATACCATCCAATTAAATAATATATGAAGTGGTCATATTTAGAGTCTCACTTTTGATGAGTCATTTTTTTCTGAAAATGCTGAAAGGATCAGGACCAGGATCTGGAGTGTATAGCAGATGAGGAACACGCAGGAATAGGCCAGGTTAGGATTGCTGCCCTATGGGAGGGGACAAAGAAGATGAGCCTTTTATCTGAATTAAGTCTAAACAGCCCCTATGTATCAATGCTTGTGATTAAAGTCTATTATCAAATCCCCTAAATACAATCCTACCCTGCAACTCAATTTACCTTATGTCATTTACTCCAACTTAGAAGTTGCCCAGCGGTACCTCCTCATATCACCATCTCTTTCCTCCTTACCCTTAAGAGTGTCCGGATCAGAGTCTGAAACTGGAAAGTGCCACAGAGTATTGAGAGAATCCAGAACACGGACAGGAACCAAGAGTCCTTCTGTATACACCATCGCCTGCTGTGTTGGATCAGCAAAACCAGGATCTAGCGAGAAATTCACATCATGTTTTGAAAAATATTGTCACTAACACCAAGGACAAGAGGCAAGAAGGATGTCAGAGAACACGGGAAGAAACGGGGGCTGAAGGGGGAGATTGTTGTAACTAATCTGACGCCAAATAGTACATTTCCTCCCTGATACCATCCGACTTTTTCTTTCAGGACCCCAGTGCTCTCTCTGGAACTCCCTTCCCTATCCCATCTCTATTCACCACACTTGGGCAGGGAGTCAGAGAAGAACGCAGAGGGTCACCACCTGCATCTAAATGGAATAACTTTGGGAGCCAGAAAAATCTTTCTGAGGCCCAAGAAAATAATTTCAGGCACTACAGTAATCAGGTCGGGGAGGCAGATTCTGCTGAATAGGTGCAAGGCGTCTGTATCACAGTACTTTCTAATAATATTAGACTAAACAATTAGCAACAACAAAAAACTTTGCCTCGCATTATTCACTTAGTTATAATTAATTAAATGTTGTTTTCCCAGACCCAGTGCTGTGCTAGTAAACTGGCATTCTGAAAACAAAGCCATGATTTGTGGCATGTGTGAATTTCCATGGTATAAATACTCCCACCGTGGTGGATTTCAATCTCCAACATGATGTCACCAAACTCAGGACTGGGAAGAGAGGCGCAGTCAGCTCCGTGAGCTGGCTCCAGTGCGCTGCTCTCTAGACTCTTCTGTTTTATAACAACGGTGACAAAACGAAGTCCTTACAGGGGCCAAGCAGAGCATGTTACTGAGTGAAGTGAGGGTGGAGGACAGTACTGAGCATATACCTGGTCTAATGCAACCAACTGCTACTCAGTCCTAGCTGACTGCTGCCCTGTGGAAATGTCGGCCCAAAGTTGCCAGGCATTCTGATTTTTCAAGAAAGTTTAGGAATCAAAATAATTATGTTGTATCTTCCTCTTTCAAAATGATGGTAATGGGGCTTGCCTGGTGGCGCAGTGGTTGAGAGTCCGCCTGCCGATGCAGGGTAAATGGGTTCGTGCCCCAGTCCGGGAAGATCCCACATGCCGCGGAGCGGCTGGGCCCGTGAGCCATGGCCGCTGGGCCTGCGCGTCTGGAGCCTGTGCTCCGCAACAGGAGAGGCCACGACAGTGAGAGGCCTGCGTACCACAAAAACAAAAAAACAAAAATGATGGTAACGGGAATTCCCTGGTGGTCCAGTGGTTAGGACTTGGCACTTTCACTGCTGGGGGCCTGGGTTTGATCCCTGGTTGGGGAACTAGGATCCCACAAGCCGCTTGACGCGGCCAAAAATAAAAACTAAATAAAATAAAATGATGGTAACGAATTCAATTGTTTTTTTAAACACTGTACAGCTCTCCCTCCTCCCACAAAAAACCCTGCCTGTAGGAGAGACATAAGTTTCTGTCATCAAATTTACACAAACAAGTCTAGACTCAGTGATCCATTGATTAGAGTCACCAATCAATTTAAAAATAATGTTTACAGCACGTAGAAAATTCTTTTACATCAAGAAACTTGGATTTCATCTGTGATCCTTAGATAGCAAGATATGAGGGCATAAGTTACATGTTAATCATTAAAGCTAATACTTACCTTAGGAAGAAGGCATTAAAAGTAGTGTTTAAAAGCAAATGAAAAGCTAAAATTGGTTTCACCCTATTACAACCAAGCTTTGCTTCATCATAGGTCCCTTGAAAAAGGCAGATGAAATTGGACTTTATTTCATTCCATAGGAGCAAATTTCAGCTGGATGGCTATGAGTAGAGAGAAGATAAACAGGATAGAAGTGATGATGGGCCTCACCCATGTGCCCAAGTAGAGGCTTGGATTGGTATATCTAACGGCAGGGACTGTGGCTTGTCCAGTGTCTTCTGTGAGTGCAAGGGCCAGATCTATGACTGCCAGAATAAGAAGAAACCCAACAAGCACCTGAGAAGGCAAAAAAACACTGTTAGGAAGATATCATTCTTAAGAATAGAATGGTTCCCAGTAATGGATGGTAAAAATAGTGGGTAGCACAAGATATGGAAGCAACCTAAGTGTCCATCAACAGATGAATGGATAAAGATGTGATACACACACATACATACACACACACACACACACACACACACACACACAATGGAATACTACTCAGCCATAATAAAGAATGAAATTTTGCCACTTGCAGTAACATGGATAGACCTGGAGGGCATTATGCTTAGTGAAATAAGTCATAGAAGGATGTATACTGTATGATATCACTTATATGTGGAATCTAAAAAATATAACAAACTAGAGAATTTATATTATATTCTTTTTGTTATCAAAAAAGAAGACTCACAGAGAACAGACTAGTTGGTTACCAGTGGGGAGAGGGAAGAGGGGAGGGGCAATATAAGGGTAGGGGATTAAGAGGAACAAACTATTAAGTATATAATAAGCTACAAGGATATATTGTACAACATGGGGAATATAGCTAATATTTTATAATAACTATAAATGGAGTATTCACCTTTAAAATTGTGAATCACTATATGTACATTTGTAACTTATATAACATTGTACATCAACTATACTTCAATAAAAATGGTAGGCAATGATTCAGATAACACACTCAATAATTATGGAAGCAATGGATATATACAGTTCAAGTAATGCAATAAAGTTCAAAGTATGCTAAGTGTTGTTAAGGAATGTTGATTGTCATGGTTTTAAAATACGTCCACAAATTCTCCAATACTCCTCCCTTCAAAAGATAGCTTAGTTCCCCTTCCCTTGAGTATGGGCTGAGCTCTGACTCACTTGTAATAAATAGAATATGGCAGAAGTGACAGTGTGCGACTTCCAAGATTAGGTCATAGAAAGCAATGTGGCTTCCTCTTTGTTCCCTCTCTCAGATCACTCACAGCAAGGTAAACTTCCAGCCTCATCGTGAGGACACTCAAGTAGCTCTATGGAGAGGTCCACTTAGTAAGGAACTGAGACCTCCTGCCAAAAGCCATGTGGGTGTGTCAATTTAGAAGCAGATCTTCTAGCCCCAGTCAAGCCTTCAGGTGACCTTAGGCAGAGCCTGCATATTAATAACAGCAACCTCATGACAGACCCTGAAGTCAGGTAAGCTGCTCCCAAATCTGACCCATAGAAACTGAGATTTAAAAAAAAAAAAGTTTATTTTTAAGCCGCTAAGTTTTGGACTAATTTGTTCCATAGCAATAGATAACTAATAAAATAGATTTAAAGGGGGAATTCCTCCAACCCAAGTGGGACGGCACTATTCCCTTTCCTTGGTCATTACTCCCAGCCTTCTCCCCATATAAACTTTGAAGTTAATGACTGCAACTCTGTGACCCTAAGATGACTCCAAGTCTGTCAAATATTTGTACTATGAGCTCATAAGACATGATACACATTTTTTTGTTCTAAAGGACTACCGCCCACCCATCAGGAGGGAGAATTATTAACTCCACTGAGGAGGTCCACCAGTACCTTATCCCTCAAGATGAAGATCTTTAGTATCAGCTCCCCTACCCTCACCCCTCCCTACTCCCATCCATCTATGCCTACTCATTCCATAAGCCTCATTCATCCAGAATGGCTCAGGAAGAGATATTGGGCCCTTTATAATTAAAACCAGCAAAGAAAGCACCTTTAACTAATAGGATAAGTGCTATTATTTAGCAGAGAATTCTTAGGAATCAATCCCATTATTGCTAAAATAAAGGCTCTTTAGGATGATTAAAAGAAAAAATAAGGAAAATCTCTCAGAACAGAGGGGAAAAGAGAAAAAGAAATTCTAAAGAGTTGAGAAGAAGGGTCAATTCAGCGAGTCCAACATCTATCTAACAAGAAGTTCTAGAGATAGGGAATTTTAAAATTAGAGGAAAGGAAATGAAAAGAATAATATAAAAATTTCTCAGAGATAAGACATGAGTCTTTCGGTTAAAAGTATAGAATCCATTGAATGAAAAAAGACCCATGTAGACACTCTTATGAAATTTCAGGACATCAAGGATAAAGAGGATAAAGCTTCTAGAGAGGATAACAAGGAATGAGAAGAATTCTAACTTGGTAGCACAGGATTTGGGGGAACAACATAGCAACAACTTCAAACTTCAAAAAAAATTTTTTTTGAACCTAGCATTCCATAGTCAGATCAACATTTTCAGAAAGCAAGAACCTAGAGACTTTATTTACTATTGCTCTTTCTGAAAATTTTATTGGGAGCGCTAAATCTCTTGTGTTACACAAAGGGGCATTGAGATGAGGATATAATGTACAGCATGGTGACTATAGTTTAGAACTTTCAAATATACAATACAGTACTCTTAAGAAAGTAGATATTGAGGGCTTCCCTGGTGGCGCAAGGTTAAGAATCCACTTGCCAATACAGGGGACACGGGTTCCAGCCCTGGTCCGCAAAGATCCCACATGTCGCGGAGCAACTAAGCCCACGAGCCACAACTACTGAAGCCTGCATGCCTAGAGGCTGTGCTTTGCAACAAGAGAAGCCACCACAATGAGAAGCCCCCATACTGCAACAAAGAGCAGCCCCCACTCGCCGCAACTAGAGAAAGCTCACCTGCAGCAATGAAGACCCAAGGTAGCCAAAAATAAAAATAAATTTATAAAAAAAAAAGAAAGTAGACATTGAAAGTTCTCATTACAAGAACAAAAATTATGTAACTATGTATGGTGATGGATGTTAACTAGACTTATTGTAGTGATCATTTCAAATTCTTATGCTGTAACAGCTGAAACTAATATAATGTTATATGTCAATTATGTCTCAGTTTTTAAAAAGACTATAAACTGAAAAAAAAATCTCATTTGATCTCCAGAACTTATTTATCTTCTAACTGCAAGTTTGTCATGCACTTGTGATTATAGTCAAAATACTGTATCACATACTTCAAAGTTGCTAAGAGACTAGATCTTAAATGTTCTCACACACACACAAAGAAGATAATTATGTGACATGATAGAAGTGTTAGCTAACAGTATGGTGGCAATCATATTGCAATATATAAACGTATCTAATCAACACACTGTACACCTTCAACTTATACAATGTTATATGTGAAATAAGGAAAAAGAAAGGAAGAACTAGAGCCTAAAATTGATGGAAAAAAAAAAAGGAGGGGGAGGGGAGTTCTCTGACGATCCAGTGGTTAGAATTCAGGGCTTTCACTGTCGTGGCCTCAGGTACAAACCCTGGTCTCAATCCCTGGTTGGGGAACTTAGGTACTGCAAGCTGTGTGGCATGGCCAAATAAATACAATAAAATTGATGGCAGATTATTTTTAGGTATAAAGGTAACCTACAGAAGAACAGAACATAATCACACAAAATTAAAAGACTGAGAGAAAGAGGAAGAGAGAAAAAGGAAGCTAGGGAGTTGGGTCAATGAGCTAAATTCTTTGTCTTTCATAGAGGACAGAAATAGATATTTTTTGAAGTTGATGGATCAAGAAATACAGGTATAAACACATTATTTATAGATATGGAGGTAATCATCAAAATAATTTTAAATGGCAGCCTCTGGAGAACAGGACTAGAAAGTAGAGGGTTGAGAACGAGTCTTTTTCTTTTCATTTTGTTTTTTTGTTTGTTTAGTTTTTTAAAGAGAGTAAAAGGAAACATCTCAAAATGTTAACAGGAGTATGTCAGAGTGATACAATTATCAATGATTTCCTATTTCCCTAGAGCTGACAAACTTTCTACAATAATCAAATAAACTTTCTACAATAATGCATTCTTTTTATAATCAGAAACATACTATAGGCTTTTCTTAATCACAGTCAGGGAAATATTGTGGTTGTTTAATGATTACCAAGTCCGTAAATAGTCTTTGCCCTTGATCTCTGAATCACTGGAGGAGTTTCAAGTACACGTGGAGTTTACTGAACTCAACTTCCTAAAGAGACACAATATCATTGGTATTAAAAAAGAAAGTATAGGGACTTCCCTGGTGGTGCAGTGGTTAAGAATCCACCTTCCAATGCAGGGGATGTGGGTTCGATTCCTGGTTGGGGAACTAAGATGCCAGGTACTGAGAAGCAACTAAGCGCACGTGCCACAACTACTGAGCCCGTGATCCACAACTACAGAGCCTGCGTGCCTCAACTACAGAGCCCAGACACTCTGGAGCCCATGGGCCGCAATGAAAAATCCTGCATGCCGGGATTCCCTGGTGGCACACTGGTTAAGAATCCGCCTGCCAATGCAGAGGACACGGGTTTGAGCCCCGGTCCAGGATCCCACATGCCATGGAGCAACTAAGCCCGTGTGCCACAACTACTGAGCCTGCACTCTAGATCCCGTGAGCCACAACTACTGAAGCCTGCGTGCCACAACCACTGAAGCCCGCGTGCCTAGAGCCCGAGCTCCGCAACAAGAGAAGCCACTGCAATGAGAAACCGGTGCACTGCAATGAAGAGTAGCCCCCGTTCACCGCAACTAGAGAAAGCCCGCACACAGCAAGGAAGACCCAATGCAGCCAAAAATAAATAAATATTTAAAAAGAAAAAAAAAGATCCCACATGCTGCAACTAAGACCCGATGCAGCCATAAATAAATAAATAAATATTTAAATATTTAAAAAGAAAAAGGAATTCCCTGGCAGTCCAAGGGCCCGGTGCTTTCACTGCCGAGGGCGTGGCTTCAGTCCCTGGTCCGGGAACTAAAATCCTGCAAATCATGCGGTGCAGCCAAAAAAAAAACAAAAAAGGAAAGTAAAGTGGTTTGGCCATATTTAATATCTTTCCACCTCTGCACAGTCCTCCTTTTCCCAGTGCTTTATGAAAGCACTCTGGTTGAACCTTTGACCCATTACAGAGAGTATCTATTTCCATCACTTCCCTGGCAGACAAATGTCTAACTTCAGTTTCAATATTTTCAGGAACTACATCCCCCAGCAGACCATTCTACTACCTGACAGTTATTACTGTAAGAAAGTGCTTCCACCTTTGTAATGGTCTTCACAACTGAACTTATTTAAAACCCTCTCAAAGAAAAGTCAACTGATAAAGCTGTCTCAAATTTAAGTTCTTAAACTTTGGTACAGCTGAAAATAATTTACTTATCTTTGATTTTCTGTCTTTTTTAAGTTTATGTAAGAATAAGGGATAAAAAGGGTAAATCATCCACAAAAAAATAAAAAAGGAAAAAGAGAAAGTAAGTTCTTCTGTATGTTTGGCTAAAGGCAGCTCCCCTGGAACAACCTACACCGACTTCCCTTGATTTTGCTCTCTGAAACTTTTCAGAATAAGCTAGGCAGTCTTCTATGTTGACTTCTACAGATACTTGAAGATGATTCCCATGTCTCATTAGCTCAACAGTAAGTCCACTTTTGCTGCACATCTGACCTCAGCAGATCCACAACCTCCAGAACAATACTCCTCTTTTGTTACCCTGGGACTAAATGAGCTCATCCATTCATTCATTTTTTAATTCAATTCATTCAATTACCTACTATGCACAGGGTCCTTTGGGTAAGGGTGTACCTTTAAACAAACTGGTAGAGTCTCTCACTAGCTTAGGCAAGCAAATTGACTTAGTCCAGATGAGGTAAACACTGCACTAATGACCAAACAGCAATGACAGTTCAAGAGAATCAGAGAGGAACAAACAGCCCAAAGGCAGGTAGAACAGAAAGTGAAGAAATGAAGTTGAGGAGTGATCCAAGAAGAAGGTTCTCATAGAAGAAGTGAATTTTTACTTTCTGAGGAATTATACTCCTGTTTCAGAGGAAAAACCAATTATTCTGAAATTTTTAAGAGGATGCTACTCTGTGCCTATCACTCTCAGGGAGGAGGACAAAAAAAAGTATAAATTATAAATGAAGCTCCTGAAACTATGAGCAAGGGTGAGTGGATTATTAGCTACAGGAAAAAAAAAAGGCTAATACATTTCTTTTTATCTACAGTTTTATCTATAGAGATTTGTGTTTATAAAAGTTAAACAAAACATGATATATCCATACATTGGAATATTATGGATGAGCCTTAAACAACATGCATGAACCTTGAAAACCTTATGCTACGTAAAAGAAGCCAATAATAAAAGATCATGTATTATATGATTCCATTCGTATGAAATGTTTAGAATAGGGAAACTATAGCGACAAAGAGTATACTAGTGGTTGCTTAGGGCTAGGGGAGATGGGGGTTGATAAAGGATTTCTTTTTGAGGGAAAAAAATGTTCTAAAAGTGACTGTGGTGATGGTTACACATACCATGAAAATACTTAAAAAAAAGGACTGTATTTAGATGGGTGAAATTGTATGCTATGTGAATTATTTCTCAATAAAGTTGTTTATTAAAAGTTAATTAATAGCTATGATAAAAATGGGATACTGATTTACTCATTACCCAACCTTTTCTTTGAAGCTCCAGAAAAGTGATAGAAGCCCTCTAACTTGACTGACTAACCAAAAGCTCTCTCTCATCCCTAAGGGTACTGAAGCATGCTGTTCAATGTTCAGTCTAACACACTCTTGACTCAATCCCTATTCCTAGAGTGCATTTAATACCAACATTCAACAAATGTGTACCAAGTGGTAGGCCCTGTGCTGGACACACAGGTCAGCGAGGGAGACAATAGCCCTGCCCCAAGCTCTCGCAGGCTGTTCTTCTATCCAGAGTAGACAAAACACACCACCACCCCACCTCAGAGTGTCAATGCAAATCCAACTTCCTTTGGCCAAATTTCTTCCTTCCTTCTTTTTAGACTGCAGTAACCTGAGGTCATTGGCCTGTGTGCTTATGGAACACCGAATCTAGTTTGCCTCTCTAAAAGCCCTGTTTACTAATCAGGACAGATAGAAAAACACCTAGTGAAAGGAAGTAGATGATAGGTTTTAAGAGGGAGTTTTACAATCTCAGTTGAGGATCTCTCGGTTCTCACAAGACTTTCTCTACATTAATCAGTGCAGCTGGCTGAGAGGCTCCTACCCTCATTCCTCCTGCAGCCCGTTCTTTCCATTATTTCCCTACTCAGGCATGTCACCGTGAGCACACACCCTTCCTCCCTCTACTTTGAGCGAGCATCCACACTCAGGGTTGACTTTGGGAAAATGGAAGCCCTATTTCAGATCCAAGCCTGGGGAGAAGAGCAATGTTTGGATTGGCTGAATGGAGCAGAGGACACGTTAAATAGTTCATTTTTACTTCATGGTAGATGCCAACTGAATTATAGTCTCCTGATTAATTAGAACAGCTTAAAGATAGATAATCCAGCATTTGCTTCTCAAATGCTGAAAAGGCCACAACTATTCAACTGACTGATTACTCATCATTGGTGTTTCCAGAGTCCAATATCCATAGGATTTACGAGTCATTATTCTTATGCAAAAATCAAAGTAACTTAACTAAGAAGTACGGCAGGGGGCCAATGAGGCGTAGGACAGGTGGAGACAGGGACATCCAGAGCATGGCTCTACCTGGAAAAGCTGGTTAAAGACAGGGAAGAAGACACTTGAACCACCAAGAAAATGTCTCTATTGTGTACCACAAAATTAATTAGAAAATAGTGGGGTTCCCATACCTGCTTAGTAAGGTAGAGTTTGGTTATAGAAGATTTCTTGGTCCTGGATCTATACACATAGAGAAACTGCCAAGGGGCCAGGAGCCAAAGGAAGCCCAAGGGAATCCACACCAGAACAGTTTGCTCAAAACAAAGTGGCAGGTCCACCTCCGGGCTATCCAGGAATGAGGAATTCTGGGGGACCAAAATGGAATGATTGTTGGATACATGCATTTTAAAAAAGAGAATACCAGCCCCCAGCTCACACCCATCCCCCTACCCTTGCTTCCAAACAATTTTAACCCAGTTCTATATCCATATTTAGCCTGACCCTTTTACTAGCTGTATTTTCCTATCCAACTCCATTGATATAAATTCACCATTAAATGTCATTTAGTGACTTTTCTGACCAATCCACCCTCTAAAAACCTTTCTTTCTGTGATTCTAAGTGAATTTCTCCACCATCTATTATGATTTAATTTCACCACCACATTTGCCAAGTTGTGGGAAGAAGAGGGACCATTCCTCAACCTAAAGGGGAGAACAGTCCTGGGATATAAAAACTTCTTATTCTAGGGCTTCCCTGGTGGCGCAGTGGTTGAGAGTCCGCCTGCCGATGCAGGGGACACGGGTTCGTGCCCAGGTCCGGGAAGATCCCACATGCCACGGAGCAGCTGGTCCCGTGAGCCATGGCCGCTGAGCCTGAGCGTCCAGAGCCTGTGCTCCGCAACGGGAGAGGCCACAACAGTGAGAGGCCCACGTACCACACACACACAAAAAAACTTCTTATTCTAGTTTTTAGCATTCATTGAACTCACTGGTAGACACTCAAACCTAACCTGCAGGTAGCAGAATGCTTAGTCACACTTTGGCAATTAAACTCCTATAGCCCTAGGGGCTTAAACTGGATCGTGAAGAGGCCTTACGTACAGGAGCAGCAATGGCACATTGGAGGGAAAGCTTATTCCCAGCAAGTTTTCTACTGGTCTTTGCACTCTGCAATAAATAGAAGTATCTTGTGAGGTGAAGGTGGGGCACCAGTTCTTACATCTGAGTCATGTGAGGGTACATTATTCTCTTCTTACAAATATTTTTTGCTTTGTTCAGCTGTTTGCACAGACTCTTTAAAGGCTGAGGTGCCCTGACCAAGATGATCGGTCAGATGATTCTCAGAAAGAACTCTCTTGAGACGGACTGGTGAGATCCTGGGGCATGTTAAGCCCCACCTTCCTGTGGTATACATGTCCTGGCCTCGAGGGCCTTGGGGTCCAGGTTCTTTCTAGGATGGGAAGTGCTGTCCACATGCTCTATTCTCATTCCTGCTCTTCTCCTCTCCCCATAAAATTATTTAACTTTAGAATTCAGAAGAATTACCTAAGATACTTAAACCAGTTTAACAAGCGCTCCAGATGATTCTGATCCTAGGAGCCTGCGCACCACACTTCCTCAAAGTCCCTAAATTTCTATTCCACTAAACCATTTGGTACTGATGCTCGTTGTTTTGAATTCTCTGCTTTAATGGTTCAAAAACTGTTTCAGTGCTCAGGATGCCCAAGTTTGCATCCCTAGCCTCAACTTCCAGTCACACCACTAATTGCCGGTTCCTCTAGAACACATCAGTATTATTTCAACATCAACATTTCTCAGCAAGACTCAATCACAGGCCTTCTCTTTGTCCTCATACTCCACAATTCCCCCTCCTAACACTGATGAAATTGGAAGCCTTTCCCATATTTCTCTTTAGAGAAGGCAATTTTGCAGCTACCTAGTCCAAGAAAAAAGAGTGTGGGATACAATAAACATATTTTAGAGCAGAAATATATTATCTCTCCCACATAGAATATCCTAGGGAGATATTATGACTTATCTTAAAAAAAAAAGAAAAGAAACCCTGAACTTTAGACCAACTGCACATCTAACTTTTCTAGTTCTTATTAGTGGTCACTCTAGGCTAATCTACTACTTGTTCCGAGTTGAGGAGAGTCAACAGTGAGGACAAGTGTAATTTCTTACCCAAAAAGTAGAGTTGCAGAACTTCTCCAGCATGATTCCTAGATCACTTCTGGAATGAAGACTCTTGTATGACTGTGTTTCTTATTTACTCTTTTCCTCAGAGAAGGTGGAAGGCAAGTAGCAACATATATCTCCCATTCTGATGTTCTGATGTTCCAAAGGCAGGCCTTCGACCTTTCATCCCAACACTTTAATCGTTAACCTTGCTGAGACACATATTTACATTACCCCAGTGGATAGACATGTGACTGAAGAGCCCCAGGGACAGGTAGACACACCAGTTCCCAAAGTACCAGAAGCCTCTGTAGGTGGGTTCATACTTAAAAGGAACCACTGAAAGATGTCAGTACAGCTGGCTCACAAATCAGGAGTGGGGGAGCCTTTCTTTCTCCTGAGGACACATGACCTAAACAGAGAAGCATCAATGGAGGGGCATGTACCCCTAAAACGTGCCACTGCACTTCTGTCTTGCGGCCTTAGAGTTTACAGAAATGTGAAACATCCTACTTATTTTCAATTAAGAATATAGAACTTAAAACATGGTTAAAAATAGTGTAAACTTTGTTTGAAAAAGTCAGGTTATTAGCAGCAAATCCAAATACGAACCTACACATAATTTGTGCATTTATGTATTTACGCAATAAGAAAACTCAGCAGTTAGGACTGTCGGTGATTTTATTTTCCTTTTTGCTTGTCTGTATTTACTGATGTTTCCATAATTATCAGGTATTATGTATGTAATAATACTTTTAAAGCAAATTTTAGTATTGTGGTAAAAAATGCATAATGTAAAATTTACCATCCTAACCATTTCTAGGTGTTTCTAAACTGAAACTCTATACACCTTAGATAACCACTCCCCATTACCCACTTCCCCTAATAAAGCATATGTTCTTCTAAAATCAGGACACCCTAAAATAATAGCAGCCAGACATGCTTGCCAAAATCTTAAAGTGTAAACACCATCATGTGGAAGATCACGCAGAGCCATTTTGGTTGTCAACACAAAAAAACCCACTTTGCTCTGTGGGTATATACGACTACCTACAGAGATTAAGACACATATTAATCAAACTATCAAAAATTAAATACAAAGAAAAAATATTAAAAGCAGCAAGGGAAAAACAACAACATACAAGGGACTCCCCACAAGGTTAACAGCTGATCTTTCAGCAGAAACTCTGCAAGCCAGAAGGGAGTGGCAGGACATATTTAAAGTGATGAAAGGGAAAAACCTACAACCAAGATTACTCTACCCAGCAAGGATTGCAATCAGATTTGACGGAGAAATTAAAACCTTTGTAGACAAGCAAAAGCTAACAGAATTCAGCACCACCAAAGCAGCTTTACAACAAATGCAAAAGGAACTTCTCTAGGCAGGAAACACAAGAGAAGGAAAAGACCTACAATAACAAACTCAAAACAGTTAAGAAAATAGTAATAGGAACATACATACCAATAACTACCATAAATGTAAATGGATTAAATGCTCCAACCAAAAGACATAGACTGGCTGAATGGATACAAAAACAAGACCCATATATATGCTGTCTTCAAGAGGCCCACTTCAGACCTAGGGACACATACAGACTGAAAGTGAGGGGATGGAAAAAGATATTCCATGCAAATGGAAATCAAAAGAAAGCTGGAATAGCAATTCTCATATCAGACAAAATAGACTTTAAAATAAAGACTATTACATGAGACAAAGAAGGACACTGCATAATGACCAAGGGGTCGACCTAAGAAGAAGATATAACAATAGTAAATATTTATACGCCCAACATAGGAGAACCTCAATACATAAGGCAAATGCTAATAGCCATAAGAGGGGAAATTGACAGAAACACAATCATAGTAGGGGACTTTAACACCCCACTTTCACCAATGGACAGATCATCCAAAATGAAAGTAAATAAGGAAACACAAGCTTTAAATGATACATTAAAAAAGATGGGCTTAAATGATATTTATAGGACTTTCCATTCAAAAACAATAGAATACACTTTCTTCTCAAGTGCTCATAGAACATTCTCCAGGATAGATCATATCTTGGGTCACAAATCAAGCCTTGGTAAATTTAACAAAAATGAAATCATATCAAGTATCTTTTCCATCCACAGTGCTATGAGACTAGATATCAATTACAGGAAAAAAATCTGTAAAAAACACAAACACATGGAGGCTAAACAATACACTACTAAATAATCAAGAGATCACTGAAGAAATCCAAGAGGAAATCAAAAATTACCTAGAAACAAATGACAATGAAAACACAACAACCCAAAACCTATGTGATGCAGCAAAAGCGTTTCTAAGAGGGAAGTTTATAGCAATACAGTCCTACCTCAAGAAACAAGAAACACCTCAAATAAACAACCTAAACCTATACCTAAAGCAATTAGGGAAAGAAGAACAAAAAAACCCTCAAAGTTAGCAGAAGGAAAGAAATCAAAGATCAGATCAGAAATAAAAAGAAATGAAGGAAATAATAGCAAAGATCAATAGAACTAAAAGCTGGTTCTTTGAGAAGATAAACGAAATTAATAAACCATTAGCCAGACTAATCAAGAAAAAAAAGGAGAAAACTCAAATCAATAGAATTAGAAATGAAAAAGAACAACTGACATTGCAGAAATACAAAGGATCATGAGAGATTACAAGGAACAATATGCCAATAAAACGGGCAACCTGGAAGAAATGGACAAAATCTTAGAAAAGCACAACCTTCTGAGACTGAACCAGGAAGAAAGAGAAAATAGGAACAGACCAATCACAAGCACTGAAATTGAAACTGTGATTAAAAACTTTCCAACAAACAGAAGCCCCGGATAGATGGTTTCACAGGTGAACTCTATCAAACATTTAGAGAAGAGCTAACACCTATGCTTCACAAACTCTTCCAAAATATAGCAGAGGGAGGAACACTCCCCAACTCATTCTACGAGGCCACCATCACCCTGACACCAAAACCAGACAAAGATGTCACAAAGAAAGAAAACTACAGGCCAATATCACTGATGAACATAGATAAAAAAATCCTCAACAAAATACTAGCAAACAGAATCCAACAGCACATTAAAAGTATCATACAACATGATCAAGTGGGGTTTATCCCAGGAATGCAAGGATTCTTCAATATACACAAATCAATCAATGTGATAAACCATATTAACAAACTGAAGGAGAAAAACCATATGATCATCTCAATAGATGCAGAAAAAGCTTTCGACAAAATTCAACACCATTTACGATAAAAAGCCTCCAGAAACTAGGCACAAAGGGAACTTACCTCAACATAATAAAGGCCATATATGTCAAACCCAGAGGGAACATCATTCTCAATGGTGAAAAACTGAAACCATTTCCTCTAAGATCAGGAACAAGACAACGTTGTCCACTCTCACCATTATTATTCAACATAGTTTTGGAAGTTTTAGCCACATCCATCAGAGAAGAAAAAGAAATAGAAGGAATCCAAATCGGAAAAGAAGAAGTAAAGCTCTTACCATATGCAGATGACAAGATACTATACATAGAGAATCCTAAAGATGATACCAGAAAACTATTAGAGCTAATCAATGAATTTGGTAAAGTAGCAGGATACAAAATTAATGCACAGAAATCTCAGGCATTCCTATACACTAATGATGAAAAATCTGAAAGAGAAATTAAGGAGACACTCCCATTTACCACTGCAACAAAAAGAATAAAATAGCTAGGAATAAACCTACTTAAGGAGACAAAAGACCTGCATGAAGAAAACTATAAGACACTGATGAAAGAAATTAAAGATGATACAAACAAATGGAGAGATAGACGATGTTCTTAGATTGAAAGAATCAACATTGTGAAAATGACTATACTACACCAAGCAATCTACAGATTCAATGCAATCCCTATCAAACTACCAATGGCATTTTTCACAGAATTGGAAGAAAAAATTTCACAATTTGTACAGAAACTCAAAAGACCCCAAATAGCCAAAGCAATCTTGAGAAAGAAAAATGGAGCTGGAGGAAATCAGGCTCCCAGACTTCAGACTATATTACAAAGCTACAGTAATCATGACAGTATGGTACTGGCACAAAAACAGAAATACAGATCAATGGAACAAGATAGAAGGCCCAGAGATAAACACACACACATATGGTCACCTTATTTTTGATAAAGGAGGCAAGAATATAAAATGGAGAAAAGACAGCCTCTTCAATAAGTGGTGCTGGGGAAACTGGACAGCTACATGTAAAAGAATGAAATTAGAACACTTCCTAATACTATACACAAAAATAAACTCAAAATGGATTAAAGACCTAAATGTAAGGCCAGACACTGTAAAACTCTTAGAGAAAAACATAGGAAGAACATTCTAGGACATAAATCACAGCAAGATCCTTTTTGACCCACCTCCTAGAAAAATGGAAATAAAAACAAAAATAAACAAATGGGACCTAAGAAAACTTAAAAACTTTTGCACAGCAAAGGAAACCATAAACAAGACCAAAAGACAACCCTCAGAATGCAAGAAAATATTTGCAAATGAAGGAACGGACAAAGGATTAATCTCCAAAACTCACAAGCAGCTCATGCAGCTCAATATCTAAAAAACAACCCAATCCAAAAATGGGTAAAAGACCTAAATAGACATTTCTCCAAAGAAGATATACAGATTGCCAACAAACACATGAAAGAATGCTCAACATCACTAATCATTAGAGAAATGCAAATCAAAACTGCAATGAGATATCACCTCACACCAGTCAGAATGGCCATCATCAAAAAATCTACAAACAATAAATGCTGGAGAGGTTGTGGAGAAAAGGGAACCCTCTTGCACTGTTGGTGGGAATGTAAATTGATACAGCCACTATGGAGATCAGTATGGAGATTCCTTAAAAAACTAAAAATAGAACTACCATATGACCCAGCAATCCCACTGCTGGGCATGTACTCTGAGAACACTGTAATTCACAAAGAGTCATGTACCACAATGTTCATTGCAGCTCTATTTACAATAGCCAGGACATGGAAACAACCTAAGTGTCCATCAACAGATGAATGGATAAAGAAAATGTGGCACATATATACAATGGAATATTACTCTGGCATAAAAAGAAACAAAATTGAGTTATTTGTAGTGAGGTGGATGGACCTAGAGTCTCTCATACAGAGTGAAGCAAGTCAGAAAGAGAAAAACAAATACCGCATAGTAACACATATTTATGGAATCTAAAAAAAAAAAAATGGTCATGAACAACCTAGGGTCAGGACAGGAATAAACACGCAGACATAGAGAATGGACTTAGGACACTGGGAGGGGGAAGGGAAAGCTGGGATGAACTGAGAGTGCCATGGACTTATATATACTACCAAATGTAAAACAGATAGCTAGTGGGAAGCAGCCGCATAGCACAGGGAGATCAGCTCAGTGCTTTCTGACCACCTAGGGGAGTGGGATAGGGAGGGTGAGAGGGAGACGCAAGAGGGAGGAGATATGGGGATATATGTATAGCTGATTCACTTTGTTATAAAGCAGAAACTAACACACCATTGTAAAGCAATTATACTCCAATAAAGATGTTAAAAATAAATAAATAAGAGTCAAAAAAAAAAAAAAGGATGGACTTCCATACTTTTCTCTGTGTGTTTGTAACAGCAGAAAATGATTTAGGCCTTGAAATGAGATCAGATCCAGGATCAGATAAAGGCATGACATTATTATAGTGGCTTTGGAACAGACCTCTGACCTTACAAACAGAAACAATCTGGAAAGATGATATTATAGATTTTTAAAAACTGGGGCTCCCCTGGTGGCACAGTGGTTGAGAGCCCGCCTGCCGATGCAGGGGACACGGGTTCGTGCCCCAGTCCGGGAAGATCCCACATGCCGCGGAGCGGCTGGGCCCGTGAGACATGGCTGCTGAGGCTGTGCGTCTGGAGCCCGTGCGCCCCGAAAGGGGAGGGGCAAAAGAAGTGAGAGCCCCGCGAACCCAAAAAAAAAAAAAAAAAATCCACGAGCGAGGATACAAAGAAATCTAAATGAACCAAACAAGAGGTTGATTTGGCCCATGAGCCAAATTTATCTGACTCCTATTTCTGTCTGGTCTCGGAGCTAAGATTGGTTTTTACATTTTTAGTTATAAAATATGAAAAAGACTATTCAATATGAACAGCCTTTCAGTAAGAACTGCTCAATTTTGCCTCTTGGGTCACTCAGCCCCAAATATTTACTATTTGACCCTTTAAAGAAAAGTTTGCCAACTAAACTCCAGAAACGACAAGACCTTTATAAGACAGATGAGAGCCACAGCAGCTTTCATCTCTGCCTGAAATGGAGCAGGGAGTAGTCTACCATAAAGGGGGTTCAGCAGAAATCACTATCTTCTAACAAACTTTTCCAGGCCATGTGTGGGGCTGACAGATTATACTCTAGAAGAGCCAGAGAAACAGTCAGAATGAAACAGGAGGGAAAGGGGCAGGGCACAACCCTTTAAGAATGACATAGCCGTTGTGGATGTGACATAAACTGGTTAGAACCGATTAGGTCCAAGATGGCGGAAGATTCAACTTCCAGTAGACCTTGAGCCTCGTTATATGCTCATTATAATACAGCAGCATGCTAAATGACAGGGCCATAGGCACCATGACAGTTCCAAGGCTGACCATAAAAGGCTAAAACTGGGCAGTGGCCCAGTTCCTGGAAATCCCTGCCCCTTCCCCCAAACAGTTGGAATAATCCTCCCACCCATTAATCTGTGAAACTACCCAGTCCAGAAAAACCAACCACCCCATGTTTCGGGGCCTCTCACCTTTTGAGACGGACTGCATTCTGTCTATGAAATGTGTATCTCTCTAAATAAACCCATTTTTGACCTATTACTCTGCCTCTCACTGAATTCCTCTGTGCTGAGAAATAAAGAACCTGAGCTTCATTAAGCCCTGAGACCAGGTGTGCAATCTTAATTAAAAGACAGTGGATTCAGGGACTTCCCTGGAGGCACAGTGGTTAAGAATCTGCCTGCCAATGCAGGGGACAAGGGTTCGATCCCTGGTCCAGGAAAATCCCACATGCCGTGGAGCAACTAAACCCATGCGCCACAACTACTGAGCCTGCGTGTCACGTGTCACAACTACTGAAGCCCGCGCGCCAGGAGCCCGCGCTCCGCAATGAGAAGCCCACCCGCCGCAACGAAGAGCAGCCCCCGCTCTCCAAAACTACCGAAAGCCCGTGTGCAGCAACAAAGACCCAGTGCAGGGCTTACCCTCGTGGCGCAGTGGTTGAGAGCCCGCCTGCCGATGCAGGGGACACGGGTTCGTGCCCCGGTCCGGGAAGATCCCACATGCCGCGGAGCAGCTCGGCCCGTGAGCCATGGCCGCTGAGCCTGCACGTCCGGAGCCTGTGCTCCGCAACGGGAGAGGCCACAACAGTGAGAGGCCCGCGTACCGCAAAAAAAAAAAAAAAGCAACAAAACAAACAAACAAAAAAACCCACAAAGACCCAGTGCAGCCAAAAACAATACAGAATTAATAAAAAGACAGTGGATTCGAGTTCCAGCCTATGGGTTCAATCCCAATCTGGGTTTTGGCTGGGTTCAAGTCCCATCTGAGTTGTGCGGTTTCAAGACTGCACTGTCCCCAATTCTTTGCCACACTGGTCTTACCAAGCGCTGAGAACAGTACAACAAAACTGGAGAAGGCCGTTAGGAGAGCTGAGAGTAAACACCGAGGCGTTCTAAGCTTTCACCGACGGAAAGTTAGGGCAGAGGCAGAAGAGCTGAGAGAAACCCCTCCAATGCAATTCCACCTTCACAGAGAGTAAGACCACCCCACTCATGCTTGGAAAGGGCAAGGAGGGCAGCAGCAGCAGGGCTGAATGAGATCTCCCAAGAAAACAAAGCAGGAAGCAGCGATAGAGGTAATCAACCCAGAGAGGTTTACCAAGACTTTCCCGCCTGAGTTCTATCATCAGAGCCAAGAGAAGTATACAGCCTGAAGGTAAACCTCATTCCAATGTTGAACCCATAGGCCCACAGCTCACCTTTCCTGGGTCTTCTGGTGAGTGGTGTAGATAATGACTGAACTTTTTGGCTCTCACCAGCCAAGTCGCTTTTCAGATTTGCATTTATCAAATTATTCTTCCCCTCTGGTGTCAGTAATGTGGGATTTTGGCTGGCTGACCATTCATCAGTGGCAATTTCTGTCAGGTGGCATTCAACAGGAACCCATTCCGTGGCAGGTGGCAGACAACAGGAAATCTTCATTTGTTAACCTTGCTTGTTCGCTTTTGTCTGTCATAATTCTGGTATTTCTGTTACCGAACCAAACTTGGGTCTGCTGGCCCGCGCGCAGCAGAGCCAATCTACTGACACTGGGTTGTGGTGAAGGAAGGTGCAGCGTTTATTGCAGCGCGTCAGCAAGGAGCCCAGGAGCGCTGGTGCTCAAAACACCAGAACTCCTCGATGGGCTTCAAAAAGCATTTTTAAAGGCTAGGTGAGGGAGGGGCTTCCCAGGGTATGCAATCAGCGCATGCACAATTCTCTGATTGGTTGATTGTGAGGTAACAGGGCGGTGTCAGAGGGGTTAACATTATCGATCCTTAGGCACCAGTAGGTCTGGGGGCTACGTGCTCATGATCATCAAGTAGTTAATTTCTTCCATTTGGTGGTGGTTTTAGCATCTGTAAAAAAAAAAAAAGCTCAGGAAATGTGCATAAAGACTATTATCTGGGTACTTCAGAGAGGAGCTAAAGCAGAGGATATGGGGGAGGGGTTTGTCCTAGGAAGGTCCCACAGGGTCCTGCTGGGTTACATTTACTGGCATTTAAAACTGTATGTTTGAGAAGTTGTTATTATCATGTGCTTCTGATCAGAGTTAGAATACACTGTGTCTATTATACACCGGTGTGTGATTCTAAGGCTCAGAGCCTTCCTCCTTCCTCTGAGCCATTAGCTTTTTTCACGTTTACCCATTAGTTGTCAGTATCTGCAAAATGGAATTCCTTTACCAGGGATGATAAAAATACGCATAAACTTCTACAGAGCTTCTGACTTTAATAAAGGACAATATCTAAGGGGCCTTAGAAAGTCTCTAGCATACAGGAGTCAGCTTTCTTTGATTAGCATACTAAAGCTTCTAAATTAACACAATTCCAATTCATGTCCCTTCAGGACTCTTTAAATAGGTTCAAGAGAGTGAGAAGAAACTATGTTATTAAAATTTAGGCAATTTAAAAATTTAACTGAGGACCCGTTATATAAATCAAGATTTATAAATTGCCAAACTCTAAGCAAGTTCTATTCTTTTAAAAACTTGTTTGAAAAGCAACACCAGTATTGCAATTCTAACAAAATACCTGTTATTCTCTGACAATGATGTTAGACCTCTATTTCTCAAGCAAATGGAGGAGGATTTATTGACTGCATTTGTCTAGCAAGTAAGTTGTGAGAGCAAATTAGCTATGCTTGGTAATGTTCATCCAGATTTAAGAGAGGACCTGATGCGTGGTATTCTAAAAATAAAATGAAACCCCCGTGATGTCTCTTGCAAGTAAGAGGAACCAAAGGTGACTAATAGAGATTATAATCATGTTTTAAAACAAGCAGGGGACTTCCCTGGTGGTCCAGTGGTTAAGACTCTGCACTCCCAATGCAGGGGGCCCGGGTTTGACCCCCTGGTCAGGGAACTAGATCCTGCATGCCACAACTAAAGATCCCACATGCGGCAACCAAGATCCCATGCGCCACAACTAAGACCCGGTGCAGCCAAATAAATAAATATATATTTTCAAAAAAAAAAAAAGAAGCAGGGTTTGTACTTGTTTGTGCTTAAACATTTTGTGTAGCCAAAAAAAAGAGAAAGTTGAGGATCTAAATTTCATTAAAACAAATGCTTAGATTATGGAATACGTACTGACCCAGGTGGAATATATATATAATATTAAATGAAAAAAGAAGTGTGTGGTTCTGGCATGAAGGGGCGTGAAAGTTACCATTCCATTCTAACAAGTATAAAGCTAAACAAACTGAAAAGTCAAAAATTTTTCTCAGATGGATAAGAGAAGTGAGGTCATAGGGCAAATTGATGTCCCCCAAATCAGAGAGACAGGCAAATACAGAGAATCACTATTTACCAGAACAAATATCCATGAACTAAAATTTCTGTGGAACCAGTGCCAAGGTAGGAAAAGCTGAAGTATTATTGACTAATTGATAGAAGCTCAGTGTCAGAGAGTCAGGGTCACTGAGAGGTTTTTGTTTTTTTTTTAAGCATGTAAAATATTTATTATGGGCTTCGCCTACAGAGGCACAACATAAATAGAATAAATTCTCCTGAAAGGTAATTAGTGTAGCCAGTTGATATCATCCAGTTGATAATTTGTGGTGGAAAATGCAAGACCTGGGACTAGGTTCCCACATCTGAACTTGGGTAAGTGAAACACAGAAGGACCCTATGTTCTCAGCCTGCCTTTTGTCTGTGAAAAAACTTTAGCCAAAAAATAAGCTTAATCAGAGAAGTGAGAAAATACAGAAACAGTCAAGGGAGACCAAATAATAATAATTTAGTCATTAAGCATAGTCAAGGACTTTTAGTCCCTCTCAAGGGCTATAGATAATAATTCTGAGCCATATCCTGTGAGCTGTCTTGTAGATACTGAAACCCCTACCAGGTGGAAGAAGTTAACTACATGATGACCAGACTGTAGCCATGACTTAAGCTGCCACAGTTCCGAGAACTGGCCTCGAAGAAATAGGAACAAACCGACCCGGGAACTAAAGACTAACTGTACTTAAAACAATCAAGATGACACTGATCAGACCACTGATGGCCAATTTCAACATGACTGTCAGAGCTGACTCTGCTGCTTCTGCATGTAGCCCCCTCCCTCTGTCTATAAAGGTTCTTGCCCACTGATTGTCAGTGGGGGGCAGTTGGCCTTTGGACAGGCATCCACCCCCTGCCCCCCACCCCCTGCCCCGGTTGCCGGCAACCAAAATAAAGCAAACTTTCCTTTCCACCAACCTTGCCTCTTTATTGGCTTTTGAGCTGTGAGCAGCTGGACCCCACTTTCTGTTACACAAGTGCATGAGCAAAGGCTCTGCTCCAGGAGCCACTCCCTGCAACTGCTATTCTGCCATTGCCTCTGCCAAGTCTGTTAGGCAAATACAAAAGCGCAAGCAGGACTTGCTCCACAAACAACCATCCCAAGGCAGGGGGCACTTAATTCACACCTTCAAATCCTTGTGTATCTTCCACAACCACAAGTTTCTCTCATAAATCTTCAAAGGTTTCAGTTGGAGATAAGTCAAGGCGATTAAAGCATGTGTGAGCTCTGGGAAGTTTTCCAGGACTTCTCCATTGCTATATTGTAAACAGCTGGGGACCACTGGAACCAAATCCATTCCTGGGTACTCAGGATGTTTCCGTGACAAACTGCAGTAAAACTGGATATGCTTCTCAGTGTTCATGAGCAGCACAGCCTTCCAGAACCACTGAATGACAGGGTGGTCTGGGCAGTAGTCCTTCTTGTATATAAATGTTGTCTCCAGTCGTTCACGTCCACGTTGCCAAGGCTGCACATCAGCAACTCCTTTCATCTGCAAAGCTCACTTTCATCACCGTTTTTAATCAAATCAGTAGGAGGCAGTTCTGTGAATCCCTCTAGGATGGCATTCATTTGCTTCTAGACCTTGTTCACAAATCTCCACTGGATGACTGAGTCTCAGTCAAGTCTGAAATATCAAAAAGATCCACGGGGACTCAGTTATAGGGGAACCCCGCACACTTTTGTGAGTTTTACCTTGAGGAGGTTCTCACAGTGAATGTCAGAGAAAAATCTCCTAATGCTTCTGGCAGGGGGAGGGGAAAATTAACCATTTGAAATATACCAGAGCATTCTCTTCTTCTTAAAGTCTGCCCTCAGAAGAAACTGTTTAACCAGAGCTTAATCTGCTGGGTTAAGCCTAACCAACCTGGGGGGAAGAGAAATACCCAACTCCAGCCCACTCTAGCCTTCTTGTCCCACCTAAGGGAGGGAGCTGAGAAGCACTTGTGAAGTTCACAGTCCAGAGGCACAGTCTCACTAATAAAAAGGCTGAGATCTAATCACTGAACCATAAAACATTTCCTCTCCCTCCACTCCTTACCACCACATTACTAAAGGCCTATTTTCAGCTGTTCCTTTTACCCAGAATGTCATGTCCAGCTATCAAGAAAAAATTACAGGGCATACTAAAAGGCAAAAAACACAGTTTGAAGAGACGGAGCAAGCCTCAAATATGGCAGGGATGTTGGGATTATCAGACTAGGAATTTTAAACAGCTATGATTAATATGTTAGGGGCTCTAAGAGATGAAGTAGACAGGATGCAAGTGCAGATGGGCCATGTAAGCAAAGAGACAGAAATTCTAAGAAAGAATCAAAATGAAATGCTAGAGTCAAAAGCACTGTAATAGAAATGAGTAGAAATAAAGAATGCATGTAATAGGCTTATTAGTAGACTGGACACAGCTAAGGAAAGAATCTCTGATTCTTTGGTCCAGTGGTAAGGACTCTGCATTTGCACTGCAGGGGGGAAGGGTTCGATCCCTGGTCAGGGAACTAAGATCCCACCAGCTGCACAGCATGGCCAAAAAAAAAAAAAAGACAAAAAGAGTAGAAGACAAAAATAAGAACAAAGAACAAGGGCAACAAGTATAAAACAATAACAAATATGGTAGATATTAATCCAACTATATCAGTAATCACTTTAAGTATTAATGGTCTAAGTATACAAATTAAAATAGAGATTGTCAGAGTCAGTAAAAAACAAGACCCAACTATGTCTATAAGAAACACACTTTAAATATAAAGACACATATAGATTAAAAGTAAATGGATGGAAAAAGATGTGCCATGCTAACACTAATCAAAAGAAAGTGAGAACAGCTATATTAATTTCAGAACAACTTCAGAAGAAGGAAAGTTATGTGGGATTAAAGAGAGACATTACATAATGATAAAGGGGTCAATTCTTCACAAAGACATAACAATCCTTAATGTCTATGCACCTAACAGAGCATCAAAATACATGAGACAGAGGCTTCCCTGGTGGCGCAGTGGTTGAGAGTCTGCCTGCCAATGCAGGGGACACGGGTTCGTGCCCCGGTTCGGGAAGATCCCACATGCCACAGAGCGGCTACGCCTGTGAACCATGGCTGCTGAGACTGCGCGTCCGGAGCCTGTGCTCCGCAACGGGAGAGGCCACAAGAGTGAGAGGCCCGCGTACCGCAAAAAAAAAAAAAAAAAATACATGAGACAAAAACTGATGGAACTGCAAGGAGAAACAGATGAATCTACTGTTATAGTTGTAGACTTCAACACCCCTCTATCAGAAATAGACAGATCCAGCAGGCAGAAAATCAATAAGGACATAGTTGAACTCAACAATCCCATCAATCACTACATATAATGGACATCTATAGACTACTTCATCCAACAACAGCAGGATACACATTCTTTTCAAGCTCACAGGAACATTCATCAAGATATACCACATTCTGGGCCATAAAACACACTTCAATAAATTTCAAAAAAATAGGAATCATACAATACTGCTCTCAGACCACAATGGAATTAAACTAGAAATCAATTACAGAAAGGTAGCTAGAAAATGCCAAAATATTTGTAGATTAAACAACACTATACCAAATTACACATGGGTCAAAGAAGAAATCTCAAGAGAAATTTTAAAATATTTTGAATGGAATGAAAATGAAAACACAAATTATCAAAGTTTGTAGGATGTAGCAAAAACAGTTCTTAGAAATTTATAGCATTGAATGCATGTATGAGAAAGGAAGAAACATAAAATCAATCATCTTAAGTTTCCCCCTTAGAAAAATAGAAAAAAGAAGAACAAATTAAAGCCAAAGTAAGCAGGAGAAAAGAAATAATAAAAATTAAAGCAGAAATCAATAAAATTGAAAACAGGAAACCAAAATAGAAAATCAATGAAACCAAAAGCTAGTTCTTTGTGAAGATTTTTAAAAAATTGGTAAGCCTCTGGCCAAACTAATAAAGAAGAATGAGAGGACACAAATTACTAATATCAAAAATGAATAGAGGCACTTCCCTGGTGGCCCAGTGGTTAAGACTCTGCGCTCCCAATGTGGGAGGGGCCTGGGTTCGATCCCTGGTCAGGGAACTAGATCCCACGTGAAACAACTAAAAGATCCCGCATGCCGCAACTAAAAGATCCTGTGTGCTGCAACTAAGACCTGGCACAGCCAGACAGATAAATAAATATTTAACAACAACATCAACAAAATGAAGAGCGAGGACCTCACTACAGATCTCATGGACTTTAAAAGGATAATAAAGGAATTCTATGAACAATGCTATGCCCACTAATTTGATAACCTAGATGAAATGGACCACTCTTTGAAAGACACAGTGGGCCAAAACATGCAGGAAGGAAGAGACAATCTAAATAGGACTGTATCTATTAAAGAAATTGAACCAATAACTTGTAACCTTCCAAAACAGAAATCGCCAGGCCCAGATGGGTTCTACCAAACATTTAAAGAAGAAAATATACCAATTCTCTATAGTCTCTTTCATAACATACAAGCAGAGGGAATATTTCCTAACTCATTCTATGAAGTCAACATTTCCCAAATACCAAAACCAGACAAAGAGATTACAAGAAAACTACAGACAAATATCTCTCAGGAACATAGATACAGACATTCTCAACAAAATATTAGCAAGTCAAATCAAACAATGTATAAAAAGAATTACACACCAGAAACAAGTGGGATTTATCCCAGGTATGCAAGGCTGGTTCAACATTCAAAAATCAATTAATCTCGGGACTTCCCTGGTGGCCCAGTGGTTAAGACTCCGCGCTCACAATGCAGGGGACCTGGGTTCGATCCCTGGTCAGAGAACTGGATCTCACATGCCACAACTAAGAGCCCACATGCTGCAACTAAAGGAGCCCACATCCTGCAACTAAAGATCTCACGTGCTGCAACTGAGACCTGGCGCAGCCAAATAAATAAGTAAATATTTCAAATAGTGGTTGCAAACTGGAGGTCCGTGGGCTGAATTCAGCCTTTATAAGTGTTGTGTTTGGCCTGTACAGTTAAAAAAAGTTCTTAGAAAAGAATCAATTAATGTCACCCATCACATCAGGCTAAAGAAGAAAAAAATCACATGATCATATCAATAGATAGATGTAGAGAAAGTATTTGAAAAAACCCAATATGCACTAATGATAAAAACTTTCAGAAACTAGGAATAGAGGGGAATTTCCTCACTTGATAAAGAATATCTACAAAAGACCTATAGTTAACATTACACTTATGGTGAGAAATTAGAAGCTTTCCCACTAAGATCAGGAACAAGGCAAGGATGTCCCTCTCACTACATCTTTTCAACACTGAAGAATTCATAGCTAAGGATAAAAACAAGAAAAGGAAAGAAAAGATACACTGATTGGGAAGGAAGATATAAAACTGTCTTTGTTCTCAGATGACACGATTATCTATGTAAAAAATCCAGAAGAATTGAAAAAGAGCTCCTGGAACTCATAAGTGATTATAGCAATGTAGCAGAATACAAAATTAACATACAAAAGTCAATCACTTTCTTATATACCAGCAATGTACAAGTCAATTTTGAAATTAAAAACACAATACCATTTATATTAGCACCCCAAAAAAGAAATACCTTGGAATAAATCTAACAAAATATGTACCAGGTCTATATGAGGAAAACTACAAAACCCTGATGAAAAATTTCAAAGAAGAAATATTCCATGTTCATGGTTAGGAAAACTCACTATTGTCAAGATGTCAGTTCTTTGTAATTTGATTTGTAGATTTAATGTAATCCCAATCAAAATCCCAACAATTTATTTTGTGGATATCAACAAACTGATTCTAAAGTTTATATGGAAAGGCAAAAGACACAGAATAGCCAACACAATATTGAAGGAGAAAAACCAAGTTGGAGGACTCACACTATCTGACTTCAGGAATATGATGGAAAAAAACTGACAAATAGATCAATGAAACAGAAAGCAAGCCCATAATAGATCCTTATAAATATAGTAAACTGATCTTTGACAAAGGAACAAAGGCAATACAATGGAGAAAATATAGTATTTTTAATAAGTGATGTTGGAACAACTGGAAATCCACATGCCAAAAAAAAAAAATCTAGATACATACCTTACACCATTCCCAAAAATTAACTCAAAATTGATCAAAGACCTAAATGTATAAAACACAAAACCATAAAAGTCCTAGAAGACAACAGAGGAGAAAATCTAGATGACCTTGGGTTTGGCAATGACTTTTTAGATACAACACCAAAGGCATGACCCATGAAAGAAAGCAAAAATTATTAAGCTGGACTTTATTGAAATTAAAAGTTTCTGCTCTGCAAAAGACACTGTTAGCTGGAGGAATCAGGCACCCTGACTTCATGCTATATTACAAAGCTACAGTAATCAAAACAGTATGGTACTGGCACAAAAACAGAAATATAGATCAACAGAACAAGATAGCCCAGTAATAAACGTACGCAACTATGGTCAATTAACCTACAACAAAGGAGGCAAGAATATACAATGGAGAAAAAACGGTCTCTTCAATATGTGCTGGGAAAACTGGACAGCTACATAAAAAGAATGAAATTAGAACATTCTCTAACACCATGCACAAAAATAAACTCAAAATGGATT